TTCTGTTGTGCTGTGCATTAGGGTCGCTATGAACCAGAACCGACTGGATAGCAACTAACAGTAAAGATTTTTCTTCAAGCTAACGTCCCATATATCCCTTAGGATACGGTGGGACTAAACAGAGCAAGTCCAAAACAAAAAACTAAATTTCGAATGTAGGTAATTTTGAAGGTAAGAGCTAGATACATGTGGTTTATGATAAGATTTCTTGTTATTGTATGTATTTAAAACATTGATAACAACTGCTAGTCTGGTGCCTTAGAAACCCAGATAACAATTCAATGTCTGCAGCCTTATTAACTAGAATACTAAACATTCTATAAGTATATTATTTGATACTTTCAAAAAGTATCATTTATTTATAGCATATGCCAAGAATAATGTAATCTAATATATGGGGTTATTGTTAAGTACCAGGGAGTGGGTTCTAACTCACAGTGACCCTGAATAGCGTTTCCAGGGAGCAGCTGGTGGGTTTGAACTGCCAACATATGGTTAGCAGTCCAGTGCGGATCCTACAGCACCACACCATGAGTCCAAATATATAGGATCTGTTTGGACATGTATTAAAAAAAAAAGTCCAAATATAAAAGAGTTCTGTTTGCAGCCGTTCCATGGAGTACAGCAGATCAGGGAGAGCGGTATATAAAATTATCATTGAATATTAAACCCGGAACAAGTGTGGGCTCCTTCTTTTCCTTGTTAAGTGACATTTTCAGGAACAATATTTCTTTTGACCCTTAAATTCTTTAACAGGCTTTATAAAAGGTACCCAACCTATCTTCCTATTCTTCAGAGGGCTATTGAGCAGTGGTATGGAGAGCCAGCGTGTACAACTCCCATCTTAAAACTTATGGCAGAACTGATGCAAAACAGGTATGCGGGGTGATTGGGGAGTGAAAAAAAAAAAAATCTGTTACTGACAGTAATCTCAAAAGGTCAGACTTTTCTGCCTGATGTGTACATATTCAAGGCTTAACAAGAGTCTAAGTTGATCAATAAAAATAATAGAATTTGGAGAGAAAAAGTTATTATATTCTTAGGTGCATTTGGGGATTGGGGCGGAGTGGGGAGGAAGACTGCAGCTACCTTTACTTAAAATATTCAAAGGCACAAAAAGGAGGAGGGCAGCTATTTAACTTTTTTTGCTTACCTGCAATTCTTTAGGATTTCAAGGCAAGAAAGAAGTGTAGAGGTCTCTGAATTGAGGTGCCTCATTGATTAAGGAAACTGAGACCCAGAACAACTTATGGCCACATAGTTTGTCTCAGGAACCCTAGCGATTGTACCTGCTTCAGCTTCTAATTTATGCTTCTTCCTCTATGCCAGCATGCATGTATTTGGAAAACTCACAGTTTTCATTTCAGTAGCAACTATAACACTTTTCATTTCAGTAGCAACTTCTCAGAAATTGCGTAGTTGACGTTACAATTTGCATAGACTAGCAGAGATTCAAATAGTCTGCATATAAATATTAACAAAGATAGAACTATTAGAGAAAAATACAATACGCTAATTGGTTTTATCCCTTTAAAAGATGTCATTGTGAATATGGCTTGGTACCAAATTACCTGTCACTTAGCCATCCCATTTCATCAATTCTTCTTTGTAAATGCATGTTGGAAGGGAGCTAACCATCCAGGGAGGAACTTGGGCTACAGCTCAGATTTTATCTCTGGTATTTTGAGTTTTTCACAGCAGTAATTTAAAATTTTTACTCTAAATCAAAAGGAGGAAAAAGACCTGACAAAGAAATGTAAGTATCATTCTTTGGAAAGCTATTAGGTTTTAAATATGTTTTCATAAGTGCCTTAAATATTAAAGGAAAGGTAGCTATGTGTTTTATATTAAAATTTAGTTTATCATTAAATTCCAACTGTTCCAACTAGATAATTGATATTGTGTTTTATTGATAAAATAACATCTAATATTAAAGGAAAAAATCATTGCATTGTATATTGTTATGTATTTTGTGACTACCATAGGTAAATAATTCACATCTACCTTAATTGTCCTAAGAACTACTTAGTGAAAAGCCTCGTAGTTCAGAAAATATATTATCTTGTTTATATTTGTCTAGAATTAAATGTGAATTATATGCATACATTAATTTTCTTTAATCAGGAATTGTATGCCATAAATTAGATGTTCATAACAACATTTCTAGTAAATTATAATTGTACTTAATTCTAAAGCATTTTGAAAAAACCTAGACAAGCATCAACTCAGTCTAGGAAAACAGTACCTTAGCAAATGTCTTTGCTTTTTGTTTTTTCTTTGCTACAATCTAGTCCCATACTTTTTGCTTACCTTTTTTAAAATATGCAGTTATTTCTTGGGAGTACAAATGTGACAAGACATATCAGCATTGACTAAAGCCAAGTGTTAATAAAAAGGCAAATATTATGTTAGGGCACTGTCGATTCTTACCCGTTCATACTATCTTCCTCCCTGTCAGGAACCAGAGAAGTAGAATTATTCTTCTCAGAACTTTGGGGGTTTGTTTCACTTTACTTGAGCAGCGTGTAGTGAAAACTGTTGTCTGTGATGTAATTTAATTTAGTATGTTTGGAAAATGCTCGAAGTATCAGATGGTCCATTATGTATACATGGACTCCTGGTGTGGCGCTGTTGGATCAGCACTGGACTGTGAACCATAATTTTGGCAGTTCAAACCCACCAGCTCCTACACAGCGTCACTGTTAGTAGAAACTGATTCGACAGCCCTAAACAACAACAACGATAAAAGGGATCTAGATTTCCTATCTCTTTATAATTTGGTTCTAAAAGTATGTAACGGACCCTATAGGAGATCTCAGATGTAAAAATGGAAGGAATATTTACATGCTCATTCATATATGTGTCTGTGTCCTAGTATCCATACAAACTTACACATTTGTCATGGTTATTATTTATGACATCAACTACTTGGCATACATTATAACTAAAAGCTGTAATTTCCTTTCAGATCAGAGATTATTAAGGTCTGTGAACCCTCTGAAATTCACTGCAAGATATTTCCGTGCATATGTCTTTTTATGTAGAGTGTGTATAGCTTCCACTAGTTCTTCAAGGGCAACTGCTCTAGGTTGTAATGACCTAAAAATACCAATTCTTAAATGTACTCATTAGAATAATTTTCACAGAAAAAAGCCTTTCTCACCTGAAGTCTGATATTGGTGTATATATATGCATTTTAAATACAGTATCTTGTCTTCCTTTTTTTTTTTTTTTTAGTGAAAATAATATATGACTATAATTTTTGGCCGAAGGCAATCTTATATTCTTAAAACAGTTCAAGGTTTGCAATCAATAGACTTCTGTTTTAATCCTGGCTTTCCCCCCTTATGAACTGTGAGACTTTGGACAAGTTCTTTCTTTAAATCATCATTCCCATGAAATGAAGATAGTACTTACCTTATATGGTTGTTGTAATAAATGCTACACTGTATATATAAATTGCCTGTTTTTAAGTGTCGTCAAGTCAGTTACTACTTGTAGCAACCCTGTATAGGCCCTCTGAGGAGCAGCTGGTGAGTTTGAACTGCCGACCTTTTGGTTCAAACTGACCTTGCAGTCTAGAGCATTACCCTGCAGTGCCACACCAGGACTGAGTACCAAGTGTCCTATTAAGTGGTAGTGGTGGTTTTTGTAACTTTGAAACTATAGGTAAGAAAAAAGCGTTTCTTAAATGGTGGTGGTGCCGACTCATAGCAGCCCTGCATAGGGTCTCCAAGGCTGTAAATCTTTACGGGATCAGAAGGCTTCATCGTTCCCCCACTGAATGGCTGGTAGTTTCAAACTGACCTTGAGGCTAGCAGCCTGACTCGTAACCACTACGCTACCAGAGCAGTTTACCATAATTAAAGGGCAAACGTTCAAAGAAGGAGGTAAACTGGCTAAATTTTAAAAGTCTGTAATGTAGGATGTCAGATATTATTTTGACATGTTTTATCAGATAATGAGCTCTTTATGAGAAGATCTCCTTTAATTAGCATAGTGGCTTTATTGTGAGAAAACGAGCATGTATATTTCCTCAAGATTAGGTGACTAGAATGATACTTTAAGAAAGTGCTAACTGTCCTGTTGGTAGTTCTATTAAATGAAAATGCTAGGCATTTAAAGCTGTATTTGGTTTGTTTGAACCTGTAGTCTAATTTTTTGCTATATTTCTTAGATCTCAGCGCTTGAATTTTGATGTATCATCTCCTAATGGAATTCTTCTCTTCAGAGAAGCTAGTAAAATGATTTGCACTTATGGTGAGTATCCTTTTCGGTATTTGTTTCCTCGATATAACTTTATCTCTTTGAAGGAAAGAAAGATGTTAGTTATTTTGTTCTTTTTAACCTTCCTATCTGTATGAATTTGTGAAATGGGTAATGGGAGTTCTAAAAGCTCGGCAGCTATCATGTCGGCATCAGGAGGAGTAAGCATCAGGCCTGGGACTACAAATCATGTCTGACCAACTTGATGAATTCTTTTGGATAAATTGCTGTGTCCGTAGGCTAAGGGAGTACACCAAATAGAATATAGAAAAGTTAGAGCATAGTCAAACTTGTTCAAAGTTCTATCATGTAGTTTGCTGTCTTGGGTCACTGTGTTATTAGTACTGAATTTTGGAAAAATATCCTTGTGAGGAGCAGCAGATGTTTTATTAAAAGGCCATTTGGGGTACTGAACCCTCCTCAAAGAGGAGTTCTACAGTAAGGATTACTCTGTTCTGTTAAATCTAAAAATTTTGAAACTTTATTAGCAAGATGGCCTTCTTACCACCATCAAGTCAATTCTAATTCATAGAATCCTAAAGGATAGAATAGAACCTTCTCCCTAGGGTTTCTGAGGTTGTAAATCTTCATAGAAGCAAACTGCCTCATCTTTCTCCATGGAGTGGCTGCTAGGTTCCAGTAATCAGCCCAGCATTTAGCCCACTGTGCCACCAGTGCTCTCATGTGGGCCTTGTTGTTGTTGTTAAGTGCCATTGAGTTGGTTCCAGTTCATTGCGACCTGTATAGGATTTTTTTTTAAGTGGCTGATAGGTTTGAACTGCTGATGTCGTGGTTAGCAGTCCAGTGCTTATCCTACAATGCTATACCAGGACCCCGTTTGGGTTTTGTTGTTGTTGTTATGTGCCGTGGAGTCGGTTCCGACTCATAGCGACCCTGTATAGGGCTTCCGAGGCTGTAAATCTTTACGGGAGCAGAAAGCCTCATTTTCTCCCGCGGAACAGCTGGTAGTTTTGAACTGCTGACCCTGAGGTTCGCAGCCCGATTCATAACCACTACGTTACCAGTTTTAGAACTACCATAATCCCGGACACTTTCCATCTCTGACTGCTTCATCAATGAACTCCTCAGTTCTCTGAGACCTTATGTAACCAGAGAATGGGGATAGTGTATAGAAGACTCCTCTGTGCCATGCCCATTGCCCCACGTGAGGTTTCTCTGTGCTCTCTTTTTCTTTGTCCTCTTCCTTTTTGCTTATCTGGTCTCACTTTCTTAAATCAGCAGTTACATTTGGTCCCCAAAATGGCATGTCAATCTCATGAGGTTTTTTGTTGTTGTTTATTTTTATTTTATTTTATTTTATTTTTTTGAGTACTTAGAAACAGATTTTGATAAAGCCTCTTTGTTTTAAATATTTGTTTAAACAACTATTTAAAACGCTTATTACTTTTTTAAAAACAGAATAATAGGTGTTTTAAATTGTTTTTACTTCAGTTCAAAACACATCTGAGACTCAGATCTGTATGCATTACAGTCCTCTGTTTAAAACGCTTAGATTTAATCACACATTTGATTTGTAGAGTTTGAGATTGGAAGTGTGTGGAGCCTACAGAAAGCACCTATTGAAGACAGTAAACTTGCACTCCCTTATTTATCAGGAACCACATGACCACCATGTCTGCATCTGTTTGAAAATGGACACATTAGACTGATATAAAGTAGAAATACTGTTCCACCTAAAGGTAGAAATGGACCCCTTTTTAACAATTCTAAATGACAGGCTGCCTAACTCCCAGTGTCTTATCATCCTACTATATGTCTCTAGACCATTTCCCCAGACAGTGTGGGCTCTTAGAAAAAGCATGGGTTTTAGAGATTCGTACATCTGAACTTGAATCCTAGTGTCAACAGTCCTTACCATCCCAGTGACCTCTCTGTGCCTAGTTTTCTCAGGTATAAAATTAGGAATAGGAATTCTCTAATGACCTCCCTACCTGCTTAGAATTAGGGGGATCAATTGAGCTACTGGATAAGGAGCACAGAAGAGGGTCTCCCAAGAAATAAGGTACTCCCGGAATGTGTCCGTCCTTGATTCAAAGCGTTCCCAGCCTTCACCACACCAGCCTTCTTCAGATGGTAGTACACTGTCCAGTGTTAGTTTTTTTTTTTTGGGGGGGGGGCTGATGATGCCCACTGCTTGGACCCCACTGTACTGCTTCCATCTGCCTGTCCCAGAGCAGAGTGTCTATACCATTGCAGCAAAAGTTAGGAAAGATAACTGAGGCTTGCACCAGAGTAGAAAAAGAGACAGAAGAAGAAGAAGCAGAAAGAAAAAAAAAAAAGGGGGGCGGGGGGGCAGCGGCAAAAGGAAGTGGAAGGGAAAGGCTAAAATACTTTTAAAGCACTCTTGGAAAGAAAAACCAGTAAGGAGTTGAAGATTCTGCTCATACATTTGGACAAAAAATAATGGCAGCTTCCATTTTTTGCATCAGCTAATCTGTATCTGCTCCTGTAGTAGATCATTTAGCATACACTAGTCTGTTGAATTCTCCCAAAAGCCCTGCAAGTTTGGCATTATCTGTCACTCACTAATCCTATGACCTTGATTAAGTTGTTTCCGTTTTCTGTTAAACTGAGAAAATCATGCCTTCCTCATAAGATTGTTTTGAAGATTTCATTAGGCAACGTATGTATATCCCTTAGACCTGTTAGCTACTGATTACCATTATGAAGAAGTTAAAGCTCAGAGAGGTTAAGAAATTTGCCACAGGTTACATAGTTAGCAGATAATTAAATGGGAATTCCATTAGAAGCCTATCTGTCTTCAGACAATAGTCTTTCCATATTCCTTTTGCCTCTTGAGTGTTGCTACAGGAAGATTGAATGTGTAGTTTGATAATAGGGAGATTTCTGTCCCCAAACCTAAGGGAAACCAATGGAAAAAAGGCCCTTCAACTGTGTCTCCAATGAAATTAACACCTGGACTTTACATAAAATAATAGGAAAATGCCTTGCACCCTCTACTCATTCTTATGCCAGCCTTCATCAGCCAAGCTGGTTTTGTCTGTCTTGCCTTCTGTAATGTTTGACTTCCCCTGCTTTTACGGCTGGAGATTGCAGTGTGCTCATTGGAGGGAGATTATGTGGTTGCCATCCAGGAGTCTAGAAGATGAGGGAAAGAGGGGCTGGAAAGACAGAGAAGAGGCAGCATTATTTATTTCTTTGGTAAGCCACGGTGAAGGAAGGGGAAGTCCATGGGGGAAAGAGGCCAGAACATTCTGTGATCCCATCTGTCCCCATCTTTACTGGGCTTCTGCTCTGCTCACCTTTCCTGGGCAGTATCTTGGTGGCCATTGATTTGGATGGTGCAGAGGGGAAAGGACTCATATCCAAATGCACTTGATTTGTTACACATTTTGTGGAATACCTCCACCTCGCTGCTCTTTGAGACAGGCAGAAAAATAATACTTTTGATATGCTGTTTTATTTATCTACATTCTGTCATGATATACTTTGATGTAAGTTTTTAATTTTGCTTCAGCTCTCAGCTGTTCTCTCCGTTACTGCTCAGGGTCAGCAATGAGGTTAGCCACAGTAGCACAAAACAATTTCCTGTTTGTACAGCCCAGGTAACATTTGGATGAGGATTAAATTTTATCACATTTTCTACTAGCCCAAGCCTATTATTTCTAATGAGTTTTAAATTGCTTCAAGAACATGTATTTCAAAACTTAGTGCTATGATCTATTCAGCCTGAGCAACTTAATAAAAGAAATTTCTTTCTTAAATTTTTGGTTAAAATGTTGCATGCAGTGTAATAAATGTTATTACTTTGGAAACCTACTTCTCAGTTTTAAGAACTGGATGTTTTTAATGCTCAATTTCCATTTGTCTAATCTTTTCTTTCCTTTGCCTCTGGGTACTAGTATCTTTAGTGACATCTGTTGGTTGAAGAGTGCACAGAAGGAAGAAATAGTGATTTTTTCCATAAGACTAGCCAAAATGGAACTGCTTCTGTTCCTTCCTTAGGTACTTGCCTTAAGAAAGCCAATGTGTGGAAACCTAAACCTTAAAAATGGATACAACACGCTGTAATTATTCACTATATGCAATAATTTACATCAGAATTCTTTTAAGCAATATATGGTGTGTTCCAGAATCATTTAAGGTATAACTTAATAATATGGAAAAAATTGCATTTGTAAAGTGTTGTACAAGCCACTGTTACTTATCATGCCTTATATAACAGACCTATGGTTTCCAAACTGGATGTTGCAGGGCCCTAGAGTTCTGTGAAAGTGATAGAGAGAGCGCCAAAGAAGGGAACCCTGCTGCCTTGTCAACCAGAGCCACCCAACTATAGAGTCCATTAGTGTTTGCAAAAAGGGTCAACTGGTTAAAAAAAAAGAAAAGAAAGAGGAAAAAATCAAGAGCTTTAAAATTACTGGGATATATAGTATTAGGAGAAGTATTAGAAAAACTAGAAATTATGATTGTATCCACCACTTGTCTGTCAGATGGTTGTAGTATGGTGACTTGCATCTTACTGTGATGCAGGAAGCTCTGTCAGTAGCATTTTGAATACCATTAGGGTCACCTAGGGTGGACAGGTTTCAGTAGAGCTTCGAGACTAAGACAGACTAGAAAGAGAGGCAGACTATTTCTGAATGGTTAGCCACTGAAAACTTTATAAATAGCAGCAGAACATTGTTAGCTAGATGCCTGAAGGAGCCTCTCAGGTTGTAAGGCACTCAAAATGCAACTGGGGAAGAACTGCCTTCTCAAAGTAAACTTGAATGTGATGACGTGAATGGAGTAAAGCTTTCGATACCTTCATTTGCTGATGGGGCACAACTCAAAATGAGAAGCAGCTACAAATATCCATTAATAATCGGAATATGAAACGTACAAAGTATGAATTTAGGAAAATTGGAAGTTCTTAAAAGTGAAATGGAATGCATAAAGATCAATATTCTACGTATTAGTGAGCTGAAATGGACTGGTATTGACTACTTTGAATCTGACAATCATATGAT